CCCGCCCCTCCCGCCACCTGCCGGCCTCACTCCCGCCTCCGCCCTGTGTCTCGCTCCTGGTCTCCGCAGCCATGTACCCCACCGCGGCCATCACGCCCATCGCGCACAGCGTCCCCCAGCCGCCGCCCCTCCTGCAGCAGCAGCAGCAGCGAGAAGGTGAGGGGGCCGCGACTCCCATGGGCGCGAGCCCCGCCCTTTGACTGCCCCCTCCGCCTTCAGGACCCCCCTCGACTCGCAGCCCAGCCAGCCTAGCGCGGAGACCTGCGACCCGCGCAGCCTGGGAGCTGGACGGGCCTGGGTTCAAGTTCTGGCGCACTCACTCGTTCCCCGGCTGCTCACGGACACCTCCGTCTTCCTCTGTTTCCTCCTCCGGAGAATGGGAACCACGCTAGTTGGTCGCAACCCCGCAGAAAATACAGTGACCCCACCTCTCCAGAGCTGGCTGGCTTTCTGAATTCTTGGAGAGAATGTTCCTTTGGAGGCTGGGTGGTGGTCTGCCCGGTAATCCCAAGGCAGGCAGGGAGGGAGGCTTAGACACTGGAGCTGGACACCTGGAATCCGAATGCTCCCAGTTCTGATTAAGAATATCACCAGGAGGCGCTCGCCCTCCCTCCCTCTCCTGGCCTGCCGCCCTGGCGGCCATCTGCGCCCACAGGAATACCAACGGTTTCCCACACACAGTAGGCACTCAGCACCTGGGAATCCAGTCCCTTCCTTTCTTTAATCCCCCTTTGTGAGGGAGGCGTGTGGAGGGGTTGGTTGGGATGAGGGGACCAACCAGAAAAGCCCAAGATCACTCATGGCAAGGGAAGCCCTGCTCTGCTGATGACCTGGCCCTCAGACTGCGTCCTGTGAGACTGCGCAGCCTTGCCCTGGGCCTGTGGAAGGACACTGCCAGAGTGCAAAAGCTCTGTAGGGCGCTTGGCTGAAGGGTCTCTGGCTCTGCCAGCCAGCTGCTGCCCCATCCTCCTGCAGATATCTCGTTTCCAGGGCCAATGCGGTTAAAAGCAGAGACAACACAGGAGTATCATGGACCCAGGCGATTGATCACCTGCATGGCATCACCTATGCTCCCCACCTCCACTGGAGGGAGCGAGTAGGGTCTTTAGACACACCTCAACTGCCCCGGGTGCTGGTTTGTGGATGCTGGCACCTGTGTGTCTGTTCCTGGTGGATCTCCAAACCCACCCTTGATCCAGGCGGAGTAGATAAAGCTAATTCAAGAGTAGCCAGTGCTGCTGTAGTGTGTCTTACGTGTTTCTGGAAAATAGTTCTACAACTTGCAAAACCTTAAAATGTAAAGCTGCAGGATCAGTGAGGAAATAGGATCAGCGTACACAGTTCAGTAACATGTCAAAAAGAGAGAGAAGTAGGATCCGTATAAAAATGAAAATGGTAGCAGTTTTATGCATGTCAGATGGTAAAAAAAGAATATGGATACTGCAATAACTATGGCACTCTATCCTGGAAAAGACCTGAGTTTGCAAGTGGAAGCAGAATCAGAGAAGTTGCAGCTGCAGCTTGTTAGAAGGAGGCTTGTCAGAAGTCAGGGCTTTGTAATCCCAGAGATGCGCACGGCCCTTAATACACCGGGGAAATGGGAGTGTTGGTAGATGCTTGAACTGTACATATATATTTCTTTTTAAAAAGATTTTTTTTTACGCATATAAGAACTGGGGTCTAGGCCAGAGGTGCGGGAGGTAAGAGGGTTCATCAGAGACAAAAGTGGGGAGTATAAAGGCCGGGCAGGAGAGGTCTCCACACCATGTGGGTCACCTCCCTGGCGGGGAATCGAACTCAGGCTGCAGATGGCCTCGTCGTGCTGTGCCCCAACCCAGTGCACCACCAGGGAGGGCCCTGTCCTTTTATCTTTGTATCACCTGAATAACGCACAGTTACCGGAAATTTGAGGAATATATGTAAATTGAGGGTTTGGAATCAGCAACTTATTTATCTTTTCGTCCCCACGACCACCCACAGTTATGCCCTTTCACACCTTCTTCTTCCTCCTCCCTTTTGACATCAGAAAACTCACTTTGTTATAAGCGTCCACTATTGCTATCAGCATTTCGCTGTGTCGAATTGTCCACTCTGCAAATGTCCAATATGTGCTTTTCTGCACATAATTTCCTCCATCTCCTTCCATTTTGCTGTAAATCGCAACATTTCATCTTTACTTGCAGCTGGCTAGTATTTCATTGTTTGGATATACCACTTCTTCTTCTTCAAGATGTATTTATTTATGCATACAGAACTGGGGGACAGGAGCAGTGAGAGGACTCACCAGAGACAGAGTGGGGAGCAGAACAGGCCGACTGATGAAGTACACTGCTGAGGGAGCAGCGGGAAGATAGAAGTCTGCTGTGCCCTGTGGGTCGGCTCCTGGGCCGGGGATCACTCATCTGAGCGGCTGTGGCTGCCTCTTTAACCCATCACACCCAGAGAGTGCCCTCCATTTTCAGTTTTTTAAGTTAAATCCAGCTCTCTTTCCAGAAGAACTACACCAGTTGAGATTCCCACAAGAGACACCAGGGTGCTCTTTCTCCTCTCCCTCCTCAGCCCTGGCTGGGGCTCTTTTTCATGTGTGTCGTTCTCACAGGTGTGAGAAGGTGTCTCACTGTGGTTTCAACCTGATTCTTTTACTGGAAAAGCTGATGAGCATGTTTCTGTATCTAGCGGTCTTCGGGGTATCCTCTTTGGCGAACAGTCTGTTCTACTCTGCTGGCCATTTATTAACTGGGCTATTAGTTTTTCTGTTGTTGAATTCTGTGAGTTTTTTTATATATCTTGAATATTAACCCCTTGACAGTTATGTAGTGGATACATCTTTTTTCCTGTGAAGTAGGATGTCTTTTTAATCAATCTACTTGTATTTTCTCTGGTTGTGCAACAGTTTTTTAATTTGAGATAATCCCAATTGTTTATTTTATCCCAATTGTTTATTTCCCTAGCCAGAGGGGTTGAGTCTTCAAAAAAAAAAATCTTTATCATTGATGCTGTTAAACACATTGCCAATGTTTTCTTTTATATATTTTATTGTTGCAGGTCTTATGTCTAAGTCTTTAATCCACTTTGAACTTATTTTTGTTCATGGAGTGATCCATCGGGATTTGTTGGTCTTATTTTTCTTTTTACGATCATTGGACTTTTAAAAACCGAATGTTTTCTTTTAGAGCTCTTTTTCAACTTACAGTATTATTGCAAAGTTGGCATAGAATTTCTGTAACCTACACCAGGTCATCTGACTTTTAGAAATGACCCAGAGTGTGAGGGCCAGGGATTTTCCCAGGCGGTTGGATTTAGCTGGGATTTGAGGGGTTTATCTTGGTCTGGGGCCCGGGGGTGGGGTGGGGGGCTTGGCTATCTGAGTTTTGTAAATTATGTGGACCATAAAGATGATCCGAGTTTGGATTGTGGCATGAGCTGCACATACAAAGCTCCCGGCTTCTCCTCCCCCCATCCTTGCTCCATCTTTCTGGGTACCAAGGGGCACCCCTCTCCTGGCAGCTGGAGGCACCAGATGTGGGCTCTGGACCCAAACCCCTCCCCTGGGGCTCCACTTCCTCTCCTTGGGGGCTTTACGTCTTTCTCTCCCCACCTGCAGGTCCCGAAGGCTGTAACCTGTTTATCTACCACCTCCCCCAGGAGTTTGGAGACACGGAGCTGAGCCAGATGTTCCTGCCCTTCGGCAATATCATCTCCTCCAAGGTGTTTATGGATCGAGCCACCAACCAGAGCAAATGTTTTGGTGAGTCCCGATGCGGGCGCCCTTCCTGCTTGCTGTCTGTCCAATCCTGGCGTCGTGAAACCGAGTATGAGGGCGTGAGCAGCTGTGAGACAGGTCTGAAGTCATCCGTCCGCTCACTTACTCATTCGGCAACAGGTAGAGGCATTGTGTTCAGGTTGGTGCTGAGCAATGGGCACACAGCAGACAGCAAGCCAACCAACCCCTGCCTGGGGAAGCACATGTCTTACGGTCTTGCCATGCCTTCCCATAGAACTTTCTCTGATGATGGAAATGCTCTGTATCCATCGGCCCCATGGAGGTACCTAGCAACCAAAGACCTGAACTTTTATTTTATTTCATTTGAATGTGTTTACATTTAAATAACCACATGTGACCAGTGTTTTCAAAACAGAGGTTGAGGTAAGGAGAGACCAAGGAGTTACAAATACATGAGAAAAATAAAAAGACTATAGAAAGTGAGCCGAAGGAGGTGAAGTGTCAGCGTAGGCCTGAATGAGAGGGAGCCGGCATGGGGAGTCTGGGGGACAGGTGTTGTAGGCAGAGGTCACAGCATGTGAAAAGGCAGGACCTTGAGAGCAGCCAGGAGGCCATGTGGCTGGAGCACAGGAAGCAAGCGCGGGAGAAGGCGTGAGGACAGGAAGGAGCCAGGGCCAGGGCGTGTAGTGCTTGGGGCTTTGGGGAGGACTCCTTGTTCCCAGAAACAGGAAATTAAGGCTCAGAGGGGCGCTGCAGTTTGTTCAAAGTCATACAGTAGCAAAGAGGCAGAACTTAGATTAGAACCAGTCTGTTTAACTTCAAAATTTGGAATATTAACCACATACTGTCCTTTTCCAAAATCAGCTCTGTGAGTATTTATTAAGCGCCTCCTGTATACAGCCTACAGAGAGGGGTGGAATGGTTAAGCCATGTGCTTGAGGTTACACAGCAAATGGGGGACCCTGGCCGGCGCATGTGCCCCCACTCTGTATCCTGTTTTCAGAAGGAAGGGAGACATGTCTTTAAGGAAACGAATGCACTTTCAACAGTGGGGGGGCCTGTTGCCTTCTCCGAGCCTCGGTTTCCCCATCTATATAATGGGAGTGGCGGCACTAGAGGAAGTAATGGCTTCGAAGACAGCGACCCCTTCCTGCTCCGTGGCTCCCCTGGACCTTAGCAGGACAGTGAGATCGCTCAACCCCAACATCTCGCCTCACAACCCCCAGCCCCAACATTTGGGCCCTTGAGAGCTGGAAGAGGGGGAGGCTGGAGTGTTTCTGATGGTGTGCCGGGAAGGATGGAGGAGGGTGTGGAAAGACTGACAGGGGCAGGAGAGGAAGCTGCAGAGAGAAGAGAGCCAGAGCGAGAGCAGGAAGAGAGCGGAGACAGACCGCTCGCACAGGGAATCGGGTGGACAGAGACCTCCCAGGCCGCGGAGGCCGGGAGGAAGCAGAGAGGTCAGCAAGGTGTGGAGGGAGGCGAGCCTCCTGGGGGAGGGAGACCACGTGGCCCTCCCAGGACCCCAGAGGTCCCGTTCCCGTGCCAGGGGGAAGCCGCAGCAGAGCAGGCCCAGCGAGGGTCCCCAGAGGCAGGCCAGTCCAGGGTCCCAGACCAGGCCGGGGCTGCCACGCGCCCTCCGGCGAGCCCCCGCCTCGCGGCCAGTCTGCCTGTGCAAGCGCACACCCCCCCCCCAGGACCCCGCCAGGGCCGCAGCACTGGAGCGAGCAGAGGACGCCCACGTTGCTCCACCCCGCGGCTCCACCCCGGTCTCCACAGGCTTCGTGAGCTTTGACAACCCGACCAGCGCGCAGACCGCCATTCAAGCCATGAACGGCTTTCAGATTGGCATGAAGAGGCTCAAAGTGCAGCTGAAGAGGCCCAAAGATCCAGGACACCCCTACTGACCTCGCCCACAGCCACCCTGAGGCTGTGGGCTTGGCCCAGGTGAGCCGCCAGGCGGCCCCACCCGCCCCGCCTCGCCCCCCCCCTGTCCAGTCTGCACACCCTCCTGTTCTCCGGCCCCTCCCAGGCACTGTGTGGGGGTGGGGCGACTAAAAGAGGCTCCAGGAGCCCCAGGTTGGGTCGGCAGGGACAGAGCTGGTCAGTGACACCCCCAACCCCTGCGGTCCGGGTGAAATGCGAGGGTGGGGCGGGCGGGCAGGGTGGTTAGGTGCTTCCTGGAAAGGCTGCGAAGCACCAGCAGCAGCTCTCCTGAGAGGCCAGGCGGGGTCGGGTGGGCTGTGGATGCCGGCACAGGGCTCTGGCCTGGCCTGTGACCCCTTCCCCAAGCCACGTCCCCTCCCAGTCCCCGGTTGGTGCCATCACGCCCAGCGGGTAGATGGGATGGTAGAGTGCCGCCCCCCCGCACCCAGTGTGCCAAAATGTCTCCCCAAAGTGAACTCTGCCGTCAGAGCAAACGGCCTCAGCAACAGCTAACCACCCTCTGTGGGGAATGAGCAGGGAGCCCAAGGGGTCCTGAGGAAATTGATGGCCGCGCTCCAGCCTTGACAAGCTTCATCCATTAGAGGTTAAACGGCCCATTTACCCAGAGGCCGCGGGGCCCACCCAGGGCAGCTTGTTGCCCAGCTGGGCCCAGGGCCCCCTCCTGGGAAGTGCTCCATCACTCCTTTCGATTTCAGTGTTGTTCTTTTTCCCTCACCTTCTCCGTCGCCATCACAGGGCTTCGCCTGGGGTCTGGCGTGAAGTAGGTGCGTGTTAGGGGCTGCTCGTGCTTTGCAGACCCTGGTGGGCCAGCATCCACAGGCAGGGGGTGCTCCGGGGGTGCAGCTCAGGTGTGCACATGCAGAAACGCAGCTCCCAGTTGCAGGCCACCCGTGCGCTTTTATCACCCCAGCAGCGAAGCCCGGTGAGCTCTGGCTGTGCGCTGCAGACGGTATTCCAGAGCTCGGGACGCAGCTGCCAATGAACAGAAATGGGGTGGTGTGGGGTGGGGTGAAAGAAACTGTCTTCGTGGAGCTTCAGTGGCAGGGAACAGGGGTGAGAGAAACAAGAAGTGTCTGTCCAGGTTGCAAGGCTGCCAGGTGAGGCCCCGGGCTCGGCAGCCTTGGGTCTGTTTCAAGCCAGGTTTGCGGACCTCCAACCCCCCAAATGGACTCTTTCTCAAAAGACGGGGGTCCTTGGGTTCCCAGCCTGGCCGGAATATGGGGAGGCAGGGTGGGAGGCGACCTCGCCTGCCCGTGCCCCCCCCCATCACCGCGCCCTAACGCCGTCCCTTCTCCGCCAGGTGAGGGGCCTCCCCACCCCAGGAGGGTATCCCGCTTCCAACTGATCCAGGACATTTCCGTAAATTACAACCGAGTTTGGATACCGGCCCTCCCTCTCCTCTCCTGTCCCCTTGCCCTCTCCCCAAAATGTGACTCACTGCTAATGGCCATGTGGAATGGGGAGTGGGACTTCCTGGCTGTCCCTGGGGGCCAGGGTGGGGGTGCTCCTGAGTTGGGGGCACGAGGTTCAGTGCTCCCACCTGGGAGAGTTGCTCGCTCCCTGGCCCCGACACACCACCCTGGTGGCTTCCCCACACGAAATCGCAACTTTTCCTATATATATGTGACTATATATATGGAGAGCTATATACAGTATATATATTTTTTGAGTATAGATCATGGGACCAAACTTTTCCGACTTCCTTCCATCCAAGAGAAGATGACCCTTTACCGGTCACTCAGCAGGGACATAAGAAGGGCTGAGGCTGGTCGGGCCTGGGGAAGCCCAGTCAGTGTCTCCCACTGTCATATCAGGCCAGGGCACTGGAGAAGGGGGGGATTCTTAGCCAACTCGATATACCTCCAGGACTTTCGGCCCCCACCACAATGATTTTTGGGCGCCTTTAGGCTCAGCCAGCTTGGGTGTCCCTGGTCCTAGCTGCAGCTTCCAGAACCCTCCCCCCAAGCCCCCAACTTCGTCCCAGGGCCCTGTCTTCCCCCTCCGTAGGCACAAAGGAGAACCCCTGGCCTGTCCCCACCCCGTCCTCCCACCCCGTCATAGCCTTACTCATGTGACCAATAGCCCTTATCTTTCCGTGGGGGGGGACAAACAGGGCCGGGGGAGCCCCCCACCCCTTGTGCCCCCTCCTAAGGGCAGGCAGCCATCCCCCTGCCTTGGATCACCAGCCTGGAATTCATGGTCTCTGACCAAGATTGCCATGTGCGTTGGGTGACCCCAACCTGCACTGGCCAGCACCCCTTTACCGGAGATACCTCTACAAAGAATTCTTTTTTTCTATTTTGGTCTTTCTGAGCAAGTACAAAGAAGAAAAGAGAAGGAAAAAAAAAAATGGGGAAAAAAATCAAATGACAATGGATTTTTGTTTCCTACTTGGGGCGGGGAGGGAGAATTTGTGGGGTGCCTCTGTACAGCTACCCGAACCGTGAAAACCCACCTTGAAGCACAGAGTCAAGTTCGTTGGGACGTTCAGTCAGGCCTCTCACCAAACGAGTCGCCAGAGAACCTAATAAGCGCAAAAGCAACAGAAAAATTTAAAAAGAAAAAAAAGACATTCCCTTTTGTTTATACCAAAATGTGTTGACCGACCCAGAAAAAAAAAGAAGATAAAAAAAAAAAACACATAGCAAAAAAAAAAAAAAAAAAAAAAAAAAAAAAAAAAAAAAAAAAAAAAAAAAAAAAAAGGAAAAGAAAAAAAATCAAACCAACTTGTTTCGATATTCCAGAGTTTGATAATTGTTCCGAGACACTCTTGCGTGCCTGTTCCCATGCGTCGTGTGTGCAAGCGTGGACTGGGCCGAGGGGTCTCCTCCGAACCCCCGGGGTCCGAGCCCCTCCGGCAGGCCCGCTTGGGAGTGTGTGTGCTGGCGTGTGTGCACCCGTCCTTCTGGTCCATGTTTACTGGCTGTAAATACCATTTTTATACTCCACATCGAAGACCTACGTGATTTGTACGATGTACTTTATTTCTGCTACGAGTAATTTCATGAAGTTTCAACTTGCAAACTGACTTTTGGAGACAAACCGCCCCCCCCCCCACACACACACACAAACACACGGAGAAAAAGGAAAGGACTTAGAGGGGACTTTGGTTTGAGTTTTGTGTCAAAGATTTGCTGTGGCTGGAGAGGTCCTTGTCACTGTGGCGTGTTTCAGGCGAGGCGCTTCAAGCATCACCTTAATGTCCCAAACGCCTCTCTTTGGTCTGGAGAAACTGAAAATTTATTTAATAAAAGTTTTACTTGCTAAAGGACTGGGTCCCCTGTGTTTTGTCCTTTCTCATCAATAAGCAGCAGGTACATCTGCTTCCCCTGAGTGTCTGAGCTGGCAGGAAACCCAGGTTTAAAGCCAAGGGGTGGGGAAGTCATCCCAGGAAGGCAGGCCTGCCGTTTCTGCAGCCGGGATTCCAGCTGATTCTTCGGAAGTTGAAGACACAGAGATTCTTTCTCAAAAAGGCCAAGTGCTAATACCTGTCGATCCACGTGTTTGTTGGGCCATTTAACAGACCCCTGGTCAAACACCCCCCCCACTCCATGCCTGTCCCTGTGCTGGACAAGGAGTGACCAAGTGGCTCTGCCTTCCGGAAGCAACCTTGGGAGAGAGACACTATGTAATACACACGAGTTTTGTAACATAAAATTCACTGTTTTATAATGACAGTTTAGTGGCATTAAGTACATTCACAAGATAGTATAATCATCACTACTATTTCCAGAATGTTTTTCATCACCTCAGACACCTCCCATCATCAGCTACCCCCACCCCCACCTTTAGTCCCTGGTACCACAGATCCATTTTCTGTCTCTGGCTTTGCCTGTCCTGGACATTCCACAGTGACAAAATCACACTCTCTGGCCTTTTTTGAACTAGGCCTTTCTAGCCTATCTCACTGAGCATAATGTCCTCAATGTTCGTCCATATTATAGCATGTATCCGAATTCCCTTTTCGTGGCTGAATAATATTCCAGCTCACTGATGGACCAGCGTTTGTGTGTCCATCTGCCAGTGGGTGTCTGGGTTGTCACCCCTCTTTTGGCCATGTGGATAGTGCCACTGAACATTCCTGTACAGATTTGTGTTTGAACACGTGATTCACTTCTCAAGGAGATCCTAGGAGCAGAACCGCTGGGCTGGATGGTGACACTATGTTCTCAGGAACCACCAAACCATTTTCCACGGTAACTGCCCCATTTTCCATTCCCACCAGCAGTGCCCAAGGGCTCCATTTTCTCAGCGTCCTTGCCGACACTATAAATAGATTTTGAACTGGAATTTGAGGGAGAAATTACCCACTTGAACCTGGTGCAGGGCAGGACCCAGAAGTCCCCAGGGAGGTGAGACCCAAGAGGTGAGTAGAGGCTTGCTTGGGGAAGGAGGGCAGAGAGACCCAAGAGGGCGCAGTTGCGGCACTGGGGGCGTGGAGGTGGGGACCAAGACCTGAAGCTGGATTCTCGGGGTGGGTGGGGAGAGGCAGCAAGGAGCCAAGGTAGATGATGGTGCCCCCTGCCAGCAGATGCTTGAATGAATGAGTCAGGTAGGGAGATGGACATGAGTTTGACTAAAAAAAAAAAAAAAAAAAAGGAAAATTGCACCCAGCTCCCTGCCCCACTCCAGTGGATGCCTCAAAGCCTGTCTAGGAAGAAAATTCTGATGCCTAGGGTCAGGCACACAGGGCCCCCGGGGGGCATTCATGATCCCCTAGGGTGATCCTACCTTCCCACACTAAGCACAAGGGTTTGCAATCAGTTCTCCGCCTGGCCACTGGTGCTCACCCACAGATCCTAGCCAGGAAGACCCCATCCAAGTTGGCCTATGCTGGTTTCATCCTCAAGCCCGCGCAGTCTAAGAGGGGCGTCCCAGGGTGTGGCGCTCATCTGAGGTAGAGGTGGTGCGGAAAAGCTCTGCTTGGGGGCCCAACTTAGCTGAATTCCAGTCTGGCCCTGGACAACCTGCCCAAGCCTCACTGCAAAGGGGAGGCAGAGGAATACCCATTTTATAAGCTTTTAAAAGATGGCTGGCGAGGCTGTGCTGTTGTGCATAACCCACTGCTCTTTGATCTATAGAGCTTGTGGAGCCTCAGATAGAAAAAGCACAGAACAAATGAGCAACTCGGAACCTTGAAAGGCAGCTCAGCAGCTGAACCTGAAGACGCTCAGATTTCCGAAAATACTGGTTCCCTGCTGATCACCCAGAGTGGCTGAGAAGCCCGCTCTGCTGTCCACCCAGAGTCAGAGTGAGCAGGACCCAAGGGAGAGGGTTTGCCTCTCAGCTGGGTGACAGCAAAGGAGCAGCCGGCTACCAAGTAGCTGAAGCACTAAAGAAAGGGGCCTTCTTCTATTAAAGCAGAAGTCATTCTGTGATCCCCTCTGCAATGCGTCACCACACAGCGAGTTCACCTTCTAGAGCAGTCGACACCTGTTTGGGAGGTATTTTGGAGACGTGCTGCACTTAACACGACGCTTGCTGTGCCTCTGGGCAGCTCTTCTCTCCCTAGCCACACCAGAAGTCCCATGTTTCTTGAGCACCTACTAAGTGCTCTTGTTATGAACCCATGTAACTCCCAACCAACAAGGCGGGGTTCCATTTTTAGTTGCAGTTTGCAGATGAGGAAACCGAGGAGCAGAAAGGTGGAGGAGGTGCCTGTGGTCACACCGCAGTGTGTGGCCAGAGCGGGACTGGAGACGGCCCCAAGCGCCATCTTGCAGCGCCTATGTCTCCGCTGAGCAGGTCACAGCTTCCATCTGGAGGCATTGGCTAAATTAAATGGCAACCAGAATATCAGAAAATCCCAGCAAAAACAAGTCCTAACATTAGTTCTGCTTGGTTAAAATAATTTTTTCTCACCTTGATCCCAATTCTGTCGAATAGTAGAGCAAAGTGTTTTTGTAAACTAAATCTACTTCCAGTTCATTTCCCCTATTTTTGCATAAACTTACAAGACAGAATAAGCAGTAACTTATTTGATTCTGTCGGAATATTCCATATGGGATTAGAATGAGTTCTCCTGTCTGGTCTGTGTAGGCTCAGGGTCAAGGTCACATTATTAGCACATTCCTCTGGGGTTTCCTTTTCTTGAGGTTCACAGGGCGTTTCTCTTGGGGGTTTCCAGTCCTGCCAATGGATGCAAGCTTCCCCACCTTGGTGGGGGGGTCTCTGGATCCCCACAAGCAAAGTGGCAGATTCTCCTTTTCTCGGCTCAGCTCAAATTTGGCATCCAGAAGAATTTCAATCAAAGCCACATAGTGAAACATATTTCCTATTCTCCATTTTTAAAAAATAATATAATAGTTTATTTTTATATCATTTTGTGCCTTTTCCCATCTCAGTTGTAATCCCCCTGGGCTTCCCATCACCAAGTCACCCGTGTGCCATCGCCATCGTCCCGTGCACCTCCACCCCCCTTATTTTTGACCCCATTCCCCACTCCACCCCCATATAATGTCTCTGATATAT